TATTCTTTATAAAAGTTAAGAGTCAACCACGCCTACCTAAAATGGCTCGTTCTAACACGCCCCCACATGTCTACGTCACGATGTGGGAAGATTTGCATAACGCCGCCCAAATGTGCACGCTGTAGTATTGTTGCTGCCACATTGTCGCCATGTCGCCAAAAGAGGACGATATCCGCTTCTTCATGCCTAGAGCTGATCCGTGCTGGTCGCTGAGAAAATAAATCAACTTCGCGCTGTGGATGGCCGGATCGGCTTTCACCGTTTTCACCGCTCCTTCATCGGATCCGCCGGGACCGCCGTTCTCAATCCCGCCGCCTCAGCTCACTCTTGCCCGTATATAAAGAATTTGCCACTGACGATTCAAACGCGAGTTTTGAGCAGTGTAGAGTAGCGCTTGTTGTTTGTCATTTCTCCGATCACAAATGCATAATTATGTCCCCACTGGATGCAACAAATGCCTGTTTATAATGGTTTTTAATGTTTTTGTCTCGTTGCTCCAGCCGGACAGGGCATCACAGTATGGTAGGGGCGTAACATTTCCGTCACACGCTTGAGGTATTCGGCCAATCACAACGCACTGGATAGCTGGCCAATCAGAGCACACCTCGCTTTTCAGACCGATGAGCTTTGTAAAAATCGACGCGTTTCAGAAAGGCGGGGCATAGAGGAGAAACAATAATGTACAGTATGTGGGAAATAATGTGTTTTTTTAACCTTAAACCACATAAACACATTTCATTACACCAAATACACAAAATAATGTTCTTTTTAGCAACATCATATGACCCCTTTAAAAACAAAATATCTCCCTTTGGAGTGGACTTTGAGATTTGTAACTTTGTAGGTCTTTTTTATGTCCAAACATAATAAAAAAGCATAATAGGACCCCTTTAAAACTAAAAGCAATGGCAAAGTCACAATTGTTGGTTTGCGGCCTATATTCAAATCAACACACAGCAATAGCACACGATCGGTTATGTATTAATCAGGTCAAATCTTATGTCCACATCTTTTGTCTCTCTCTTTCTTTACATCTCCCTGTCTGCAGTTTTTACTGGCTTCCTGATTGCATCCAGTTATCATACTCCATAAAACTGATGAAGCGAGAGAGATGCAGAGAGAGCTTGCTGCCATTAAATAGCTCCATCCCCTACATATTCTCTCGACTACTCATGCCACTTAAAGCTTTTCTTCAGTGTTCACTCACAATGGTCACCAAAATAATGTTGTTTGGACTGATGGTCCAGAATCTCAAAGAATAATCAGAAAATTATAAAATATAGGCTGTACATTAATATAAGAATATGTCTTCAAATACACATATTAACCTACTTTAGTATTGTGCATTGCCTAAAGGCCTGTGTCTGTGTAATAGTGTTAGCTTTGATAACTGTGTCTGCTAAATGACTACTAATATATGTGAGGACTGACAGGTTGACTTTTAATACTGAGAACCTTTAGAGTGATATATAAACAATTCATTCTCTCTTTTTTGCAGTTTTCACAATTGTATTTTGATTGATACACCTTAATGTCGAGCTTTCTAGTTCCCAGTCAGAAAGATACAGCCTTTTAAATCAGTCCTTGCAATATTTTGTGTTGTTCATGTAAAACGTCTTAGAAAATGCATCTGTTTGACATTCTTTTTTACACTCTCAGAAAAAAGGTACAAAAGCTGTCACTGGGACAGTACCTTTTCAAAAGGGACACTTTTGCTTATTTAATTAATGACCCAGATGTAGTGTACTATCTTAATTAGCTACTTCTTTATACGTTTTGCTTTTCTTAACTTTGTACTCTACATTGAAGAGAAAGTGTACTCTTTACAAGAAGAAGATAAAAACCTAGCCTATTACTTTGACCAATAGGGGGCAGCAAAGTTTTTAATACATTATTTCACTGTTGGAAGCTAGACTTGGACTTCTATAAGCAATTTGAAACAAAAGCACTGTTGTTTGATGACAAATAGAGTTCATATTTCTCTGTGAATTTCACCCACGTCTACCCTGATATATGTTTAATAATTATTATTTTAATATTATATTTTTTTATAAATCATATTCAGATTAACGAGCTTAATAATAATAATAATAATATGTGATGTATCTTTATTTGCTATCGTTATTATTTTACAGACCTATCAGAGATAAATGAAGTGACACAGGGTCTGTCCACTAAGTGGCACTATTGAGCACCTCTCATAAAGTTTATGCTTCGAATGGGTGACATTTGTCAGTGGTTTATTGAACCACTAACTACATTACTGCACATTTTGTATATCTCTATTATCTGATCCATTCAGTTCAGTTCCTGGAGCTCTCTGCTAATGAACTGATGATCTGAATCAGGTGTTAGACAATCAAAATGCAGTGCTGTAGGTGCCCAGGACCACGACTGAATAGAATGATATTTGTCTATGATTGCTTGTACTTGCTTAAAGTTATTTGGACACGTATGAATATAAAAAGAGAGTCAGGGGACATGACATAGGCCTATTAGCCTATTGATTTGTTTAATGTGCACCCAACACTAAAAGTGTGATTTTTAAATTATTTTATTGTTGTCATTATTATTTCTATAAATACTTCTGTTCTAAGTGACACCCAAAATTTCTGATGGATGTCAATGGTAATGTTATGTAATGCATTTTATAAAAAAGATATTGTGTCAGTTGTGAAAAAAATACAACTGTGTGAATCCACTCCGTGAATACTAAAATAAAATAATAAAAGGCACTTTATATTGTGTTCTTACATGCAATAGCGTTCGTACATTTACCAAATAGCCTACCTTTTATAATCACAGTTGGCCTATAGCGCAACCGCAACTTTATTGTGTTTGAAAATCTATTTATTTTTTCTTCTAAAGCTCTTACAAAACCCTGCAGCCTAGTCTGTGTGTTTGATCCTGTGCAAATATCTGAAGGAAGTTTACAAATCTGTAATCTTCAATGCATGCATCAACAAATTCATGCGCTGACTCTGTCAGTGTGTCATTGTGTGAGGCAAATCTGATCATTGTATGTCTGACGCGTGCACAGATGGTCCGGGAGTGCGCGCGCAGCCGGGTCGCATTGTTCTGAGTGTGACACTTTCTATGCGCGAGTTAATGAGAACAGACTGACTCTCGTTTTCCCCTCTAAGCAGTTTTTTTTCTAGTCTTTTCTTTATAAACACCCTTAATGTCGTCTGTCTCTCATCCGTCCGTTTCCATCTGGCCACAAATAATTTAACCAAACTGACAGATTGACCCGGACATAGATAGATAGATAGATAGATAGATAGATAGATTTTTACGACTCTGAGTACAGATGAAGAAAATATTGTATCTTAATACGTGTTTGATAAAATAGGATTTTATCAAACAGGATTTTATTTTTTATCAGGATTTTTTCTCTTTTTGTTTTATTATCTAAGACACTTGACGACAGATTGGCTCTTTGCATGAAGGGTCACCGTCTAATCTGGCTACCTGAGTTTAAAGCTAATGTATTCGACCCTTCTCCGTGACATACACCCAGACATATGGCATTACAGCGGGGCTGAGGGTCATTCATTACATAATCCACTAACGAGGCTTGATCACGTCCAGCATGGAACACACAAACTGATCAGCCCGTTTGCCTGGGTGAGGAACATAATGTAACTTCTGGGATGTGTAATGTTAGACCTACACGTTAAATGTATCATTCTGAAACTTGGCCAAATCTAAACAAATTTCCACAAACTAACAATTTCTTTACTGATTGAGTGAAACAATCAAAGTTGAGATCGACAATAACCCTTAAAGTTGCAACATCATCAGCTGAGTAAAAATCTTTTATGTGAAATATAACCAGGACTTGGACACGTACACACGTGCACATGCTCTCTTGCTCTTTCCCACGGGACGCAGCAGACGGGTCGTAATTTGGTTGCCTTGGCCCGTCTGGGCAAGCACCTGTCTCCTCTCCGGGGAGAAAGTCGCCTTTGGGCCGTGAGCAGAGCGGACTGTGCATGTGTTGTGTGACAGCATGAAAAGGTCTTTTTTCATGGCTTTTTAATAGGTAAATATTGTTTTACGACAGTGAATTTCATAATGTGAGCCTATAGTTCATTAGTTAATTTCAGTTGTCTGAAATGACGTGCGTGAAATATAAACAGAGAACATCGTATTGGCACAATATCTTTAATTTCATTTTGTTTTATACAAAAACTACAACAGACGAATCAGCGCTGAATTAATATTTTTACTATTTATTCTAAAATAGTTATGAAAAACTGCGATACAAACCAGTGTAGCTACTGGCTATTCCACTACAAAATGACGGACAAAACCCTGAATTAACAGGGTGATCTTTGGATATGAGGCAGATGTGAGATCATTTGTTCACTATAAAATTTCCAAAAGGTTCACAAGAATCACGTAAACAAATCATCTCTCTAAATAGTTTCTAAAAGAAAAATAAACTACTTTGAGATCATTTTTGGTCGCAGCAGAGAGAGCGTCAATGGGTAGCTTGTAGACTTGCAGGCAGGCAACACGCTTTTTATGTCTATGGCCAAATTATTTATCTGACATTGATTATGATGTATTTAAATTAGTGTAATTGTACTTTTAAACCACCCCAAGTCATCAGGTACCCAAAGCGCTATCTATGAGCACTTTGTAAACAAACAAACAAACAAACAAAAACACAGCAATAGATCCTATCCGATGGGAAGTGCTTCTCGTTATCATAGGACAGGACATCAACTGCAACACCATTATATTAATAACTGTAGTGCACACACAGCGAAGGCCCTCCTACTCCTAAGAAAACTGCCAATGAAAAGTGCAAGTGAAAAGCAACAGTAAACCCAAACTCTGCGACATCAGTCTAAAATAGGAATAATAATAAAACATTAAATATTTACATATATACGTAAACACTTTAGATATGCTATTTTAAGGACACTCACATAACTTAATTTACTTCATAAATAAATAAACAAGAAAATATAAATTAACAGCTAACAAGGTTACGATTTGTTCCAGCACACAGAAGTAGCCTATACATTTCTCCACACGCCTGTAAAATCAGCTTGATTTATAACAAGGTTGCGAAAGATAAATATTTGTTTCGTTTATGTGATGTAGCCTATTAAGATCCAACCCAAGTCAAATCTCTCCACACCTCATTACTAGTGCTCATGATGTGGGATGTTGAACAGGATAGCTAATCTTTGAAAAGCTATCCAAAACTACAGTAGGTAGCTATCAAAAACAACAAGCTTCACTTATTGCGATACGTAAAAATTTCGGTAGCTAATGTTTTATAGTAACTAAAAGACTTCCATCCCTTTGTACCGATTTCCTTTTTCGTAATTAGTGGGGACAGACAACAAAACATAGCCTATTTTTGAAAGTAATTATAAAGTGTTACCCATTTTGGGGGTTACCTCTCTTTTTTTAATAGGCTATTTGTGTGAAAGCTGGAATATGCCACTTCTCAATGTCTATAAAAGTATTTTTTTATGCACACTTGTAGGGTTTTGTTTTAAGGTACTGGTAAATGTTCGTTTAAACGTCCAAAACGTGGTTAAGATAAGACATGTAACAGATAGCTAGGCGAAGTATTTCGATCTTGGACAGCTTTTTGTCGGGTGGAAGTGTTGGTAGCAGCTTTCTCAGCTCAGCGAACGCTACGTTGAACGCTTCCACTCTGATGCGCTCGCGCGTGGCATGCGCAGAACGGTATTTGGCAGTCGCGCGCCTCCTCCGTCTCTTTTCCTCTCTGGTGAGCGAGGCTGGCACGAGCGCGCGAGTCTTGCCATCCTCGGCCTCTAAGGGCTCGTGGGCCACACACTGCACCTTCATGACGTTCAGACATTCCGTGTCCGGTTGTGTCCAGGTGAGGTCAGGATCCGTCTGATCGGGACTCAGCATCATTTTCAGATCCGTTTGATCAAGGCTTCAGTGGTGCACTGATTGTTAACTGCCCTGGTGAATTAGAGACAAATGATTTGTTTTTATGAATATAAATATTAATCTGTAGGCCTACATATTATAATACATTCAGTGCAGTAACTGAAATAAACAACAAAGAATAATTAACTAACAAATCCAACGGTTATATCTCATGAAATGGATAGAATGTCTAGAATAAATTATTGTATTTTACCTCTGTTTTAAAAGTAACACTCTAGGCTATTGGTCTCTGTTACTTTAAAAACGGTTCAGTAGCTACTAAATGTTGGTGAATGGTTGTCAGTGTGCATTTTGCAATTTAGCTCACTCAGCACACATTACCATCAGTATGATTATAAATATTCACCGGTTCCATGCCAAAGTTAATTGGAAATCAATTATTGTCACAAAACCAAAGTCATAGCTGACCATCTGTCGCAAATGCAAAGCCTATAGCTCCAGATGACACAAGGGTGCGTATAAATCTCAAGTCATGGATTCAGTCACAAGGAACATTTAAAAGAAAAAAAAATGTATAAGATGGTTGATGTGTTTAATGTGTATTTTGTATTTTGTTGTTATTTTTGTATATTATACTGTTCAGGATACTTTTATTTGAGCGATGCAACTGAACATTGTAAAATTTCTGCCTATTACAATTGAAAATGTACGTTTAATTTCTGTTTTAAATTTTGGAAAAAAAAAAAAAAATCAAAGCGGTGCCAAGGTGACAACCTGCAGTGATTAGTTCTTTGCACTTGTTTAACCAATTTAATTATAGAAGATTGAATTGTAATCCTAAAAACAACGTGGAAATTATTGTGAAAGGTTAAACGGATGAAAACTAAGACGTTGTTATCATAATAAGGTGACAGTTTTTAGTATCATTGTACAAAAATATTTTGCAGAGCTGCTTTTTTATAGACTGTTGCTATAGCTAATAATTCATTTACAACATGAAGTGAAAAGTATAATCAACATTTTATGATTTGAAACTCACCTCTGTTGATGATGAATTGGATGAGAATCAATTTATTCCCTCAAATCCCTTTTATCAAGTCTGTTTTCAGTCAGTGATTCATGCTCATCTGTCCATTGTGCTTTCTGAATATTTATTTCAGCATCAGCAACAGCATATTTTAGTAATACTTTCCTCGCCACTAATTCCACGCAGTCGGCAACGAAGATTTGTGTTGATATAGGCTATCATGAAATTTCCGTAAGCAGAATTACAGAATGGATATAAATATCAGGACCGGTAACGCTCGCTCGGAGATGTGTTGCCCTCTGACCCGTGTGTGGATAACAATGGACATGCGTCCTCAGATAAGATCGATTAGATAAGAAAGTGTCGTCTCAGGCTGTCCTTTCTGTTTCCCGTAGATTAGGACAACATTGCTCCAGCCATCCTTACAGCCACGCGTGCTGGTCCTCGTGCCTCTGATGATTTGAGAGATAACATTCCGCTGGCTCCCTTTAAAGTCTCCCTCTCTGGCTCTCTTGCTCTCTCGCTCTCTCGCTCCCTCTTTCAAATCATTCACTTTATGCACTTATCCACGACAGTCACACCTCCGTCCCACCCTCTCTGTTCTCTCTCCTTCCACTCAGCGAGTTCTTTCTCGAACAGATTGAAAGGCGCGCCTGAGGCTAGAGCTGGACGTAAGTGTTTGGCAGAAACACATGGGTTGTACGCCTGTGTTAAAGTGGTGCAGTTGTTTGTAAAACTTTCAGCTACTAATCTGGACATTTTAGCTGAATTAAGAGTTAAGTTATGATATTTTAAGAAAATCCCTTTTTAGGGTGACGTTTTGGATGACAGGAGTATCGCGAAGCCTAGCAGCCTGCAGTCTCCTTTATACATGAAAATACATTTTATTCTAAAAACGATGGTTGAAAAAAAAATCATATCCATGTTGTTTTATCAAATTGTTTACAAACGTATTTTTTGTAAGATTTTTTTTTTTTTACTTTAGCACCAGCTGTTAACTTTGTATGCCTTACATGATAGTAAGTCTATAATTTTAACAAAATCTAAGCTGTCCACAAGTCACAATAATAATTTAAGCATTGATGGGCCACACACATACATTTTTTTTTTAAATTGGCATCTATGGTTCCACGAGGAACCTTTAACATTAATGGACCCAAAAGGTTCTATATAGTGAAAAAAGTCTCTTCAGATTTTCACACACACAAAAAAAGCACTTTTAACTCTTTCCTGAAAGATTCTTTTTGGGGAACCAAAAATGATTCTTCTATGGCATCGCTGCAAAAACCCCTTTTGGAAGTTTTTTTAAGTGTAGTACATAAGAAATTATTATTTGAGAATACATCAACCCATGATATTTCGAAGATAAATCCTTGTATTTTCCAGTAAAAATAAAATAAAAAATCCAGTTAGTAATGATTTGCTGTGAGATGCAAGATTGCATGATTACATGGGTAAAGATATGGCCTTGAAGAGGCTGATTTGGCAAAGATATTTCTCATAAAGATATTTCTCATAGAAAGATATTTCTCGTAAAAGATAGGGGACAGGGGTGTTTAATATATTGCCAAACTTCTCGTAAAAGACCTGTAAAGAGTATTTCACGCTAATAGGCACATCAATAGCAAATAGATCCACATAGTCTGTGCATGTGATTCGAAAATACATTTGTAATATGATCAGTAAAATGAATGTATAGTTCAATACCAAGTTTGATGAGAAAAAAAAAATCTTTAATATAAAATGAAATCATTGGAATTCTTCAGGATCCACAAATCATCCTCAGACCGATTATGTTTTAAACTATTATTGATCATGGCTGATGAGATATATTAGATTCCATTAAAACCTCTTATTTCTGTCCTCTGTTTGTGAACAAAGTCAGCTGGCCCGCTATTTCCTGCAACACACCCCTCTCCTCCTCACACATACACATATAAATACACAGAGTCAAATGTGAGAAAGAGGCATATGGCTTCCAGAGTCACCCATCCCCCCTCTGCTGCCCTTTCTTGCCTGGTGCATGTGTTCAGATCTGGGCATTGCTTTGGGAAGGGGGCAAAGACCTCACTGACTGAATTAAGGTCTATGCTATGTGTGTGTGTGTGTGTTGGGGCAGCTGGCTGATGTTGCTGGAAGGATGGAAAGATGGATGGGTGGATGGAGAGATGGATGGAGGCAGGATGTCTGACCCAGGGCCAGTGGAGGGGTATGAAAATAGTAAGACCCAGAGAAAGATTTTAAAAAAAAAACAATAGAGGGGAGGACATGGAGGCAGAGAAGTACTGGACATAAAGAGGGAAAAAGACAATGGGATGGAATATTTTGACTGGAAAGAGTCAAGTGAAGATCATATGTGTTTTGGGCAATATTATGGCATGAATCTCTTTATAAAGGCTTTGGTTTTGTATAATTTGGTTTAGTCAGATTATGCCGTCACTGAAGGGAACATATGTTGTCCTGTGTGCATAGTTTCAGGAGGGCTGGTGGAGATCATAAGTATTGATCTCTGTTGTTCATGGTGAAAGAACAATGGATTGCAGCTCATTTCACGGCTTAATTCAGTCCAAGTACACAGTCAATAAGAATACCTTCTGCCGGGCCAAGCTGTGAGGCATGTTCATTTAAATCACATAAAACAAATTTCCAATGCTTTATTGTGATGTGTAGTGCAAAATATTCCCCATCCGCGTCATCTCCACATTTATCCCTTATGCATACAAAATACTTAACAAAAAAAGTGAAATAGCACCAAGTAGATATAAATTGTTATTCAGCTAGATAGACTGACTAACTTACATTTTTGTTACGTATCCGGTCCATGAACTTCTGTCTGCTAGCCATCAGAGGTCACCCTTTCCATTTCACTGACTCTCCCACTACACACTGTTGCATATCACCCCGGACTACATATCCCATCATTCTTTACACTGATTGCACACAGCACTGATTGCACACAGCTGTTTCATATCACTCACTCACTATTTAACACTCAATCTCACTCCTTTCTAACTCCGAGTATTGTATGCGCTTATCGCCAGCAGTGATACCTACTCTACAGAGCCCTCGTTAGCTTCCTAGCCTAGCCTAGCCTAGCCTAGCCTTGCCTTGCCTTG